TTAATTAATTAATTAATTACTTAATTAAAAATTACAACTTCGCTTTAACTCTTTTGTAAACAACAGTACATATTATTAACAAGCCACTTCACTCATCAAGAATCAGCAATGACAGCGGTTGTACTCCAACTAGCTCTTCCGTGGCGCAATTGGCTAGCGCGTCTGACTGTTAATTTAATAGCTTCTCAAGAAGCAGTTGATAGCGATCAGGAGGTTGACAGTTCAAGCCTGTCCGGGAGAGATTTCTTTTTGCCTTTTGCCCGTTCAATATTCTCGCAACAGAGAGGGCAAGTGAAAGCACTGTGGGGTGGGGTGAGGTGGGGGCGCCTTGAGGCGTGGTGATGTGTTGGTGGACCGGGCGTCGTGTTTGTCGGCGGGTGGTCGGGCCGGTTGGTTTGGCGATGGATGATGTCGTGGTTGTTTTTGGGTCGATCGTTGTTGTGGTCGGGGTTCGGTCGGTCGGTTCGGCTGCTGGATTCTTGTGGCCGGTGGAGAGTACATGGAGACAGTAGATAGCAGGGGTAGGTTGGGCAGTCGGGTGTGCAGGGGTCAGGGGCCCAGGGATTGGGATTGGGATGAAGTGTTTTGCTGTTTTTGCGTCTTGTGGATGAGACGTAGACGACTGTCTACAGGTAGAGAAGAAATAAGTCAGCATGCATCGTTTGAGAGAGCGGGAGGATGACCAGAGCGAAGAACGGACAGGTTACTGTCTTCAAACCTTAAAAGGCAGGCAGGGTAAGCCAAGGCAAGCAGCCGAAAAGGGAGTTTTGAGATGCTCGTTTGGGTTGTCATTCATAGATATGTTCATCGTACCATTGTCGTTCGACCTATACGTATTTCTATCATCGCTCTATTTCAACTATTTCATGTCCAAACACTCTCTTTCATATCATCGTAATCCACTCCCACAGTGGGCGAAGAAAGAACCCCCCCACAGTTGGTGAAGAAAGGAATGGCACCTCCCGGTTCCTGGAATAGGTCACCAAGTGCAGTCATGAGAGTACATGACTGCTCCCTAGGCGTGGTTGTAATGGCGGACGACTGCTCCCCAGACGATGTCTCATTTCTTCTGCAGCCACTGTGCCCCTTTTGCACCGTAAACCGCCGACCTCGTCAACTGCTGGCCAACGCACCAGTAACGCGCCCACCCAGATTTACCTACCTACTTAATCTCTTCTCACGAATGAACCACGCGGCAACAGCGGCACCCGCTACGAGCGCGACTTCGAGGCCGAGCGCTGCCTGGGTGCCCTTGGCATAGCAGTCCCGGACAAGGGCCTGCAAATGGGGACCGAGGGTGTCGATGAACGAGATGCTCTGGCGGACGCGCTCGGCGATGCGGGCAGCGTCGTCGCCGGTGCCTAGGGCCGCTGCCAGGTGCGACCGCAGCGAGTCGTTGACCAGCGTTGCCGCGATGCTGACACCAAAGACGGAGCCCATGCTGCGGAAGAGGTACGAGCACGCCGTCGCGACGGCTTGGTCAGAGTGCGAAGCGTTGGCGACTGGGAGCGCGGTTAGTGCCTGGTCTTTGGGGAGAGGGACGAGCTCTTACTTAGTGCAATTAGTGAAGTTGTGACGCCTATGCCGTTGCCAAAGCCGCAAATGCATAGACCGACCATCATTCCCGCGATCGAGCTCATGGCGACGCCAGAAAACAGAAGCAGCACGATGGCTCCAAGTGTGAGAGTCGAATAAGCGATGATCGTGATGTAGTAAAACTTGCCAGTGCGCTGCATGTAGAATCCCCCGAAAAGGCTGCCAGAGACGCCACAGATAATGGCCGGGATGAGGCGAACGCCTGCTTGCGTCGCTGAGTCACCGTTGACGACCTGAAAGTACAGCGGGACGTAGAACAAGGCGGCCATGTAGCCGCCAAAGGCGCAAAAATTGCAAATGTAGCTGGCAAAGAGGCTTCGCTCAAAAATGATGTGTCCTGGAGCAAACGGCTCAGCTGCAATCTTGATCTCGACAAGAATGAAGATGCAAAACAAAGGAACTGAGCACGCAAGGGGGATGATTGCCAGCTTGTTTGTCCACGAGACATTGGAACCGCGGTCGAGGCCAAACAGTAGCAGGAAGACGGCCGAGATGAGGATGAGGGCTCCAAGGAAGTCGATGCGGCCGAGTTTGGATTTCCAGTGCGATTCGGCGCGTTTAGGAAGCTTGAGGACCAGCGACACAGCAATTATGGCCACAATGCAGAGAGGTGGTTGAAAAAGAAAGACCCAGCGCCATCCAATGCTGTCGGCGAGGATGCCACCCAGAGGTGCACCAGTGGAGGCTCCCGTCGCAAACACGATATTTATAATGCCTTGCCAGGCACCGCGCTCGCGCAGAGTAACAATGTCGGACATCATAATTGACACGACGGTCGTCATGCCGCCACCGCCTATTCCGGCAAAGGCACGGGCAACGACCAACTCGTTCAAGGAGCGGGCAAGGCCACACCAGAGACAACCAATGCCAAAGACGGTGTACGCAAAGAGGAGACATGGCTTGCGGCCAAAGATGTCGGACAATTTACCATAGAGAGGCTGGAACGAGGTCAGAGTAAGGAAATATCTAAACCGCCGCGTGTTAGAAGCATCCCAATCTCAGATCTCAGCTCTGTCCAGGACTTACGCCGTAGCTATCCATGAAGTATTATTCAAAGCGCCCAGATCCGATCCGATGCGTCCATAGCTCGACACGATGATTGTCTGGTCCGCTGCCGAGAGAAAGATCTGCCTGCTCATTAGCTCTACCCATGTTTTCCCCGGTGAAATTTCACACCCACCCCAACAGCCACTGCTGGCAAAATGTACTTCAGCTTCTTCTTTACTTCAGGCAAGCCCTCGTAATGTTTGGAAGTTCCCCCATGGCTCTCATTGCTAATTTGCCGTTCCAGGTCCGCCTCTTGCTCGTCGCGCGGTCTTGTCTCCCCTTCACCTTCCCGACTCTCAATCGTGCCAGCCCGCGAGTCGATCGGCCGCGGCGGCACGTATCTCAGCCCATCCGAGTTGTAGAGCAATGGAGAGTCCTCGGTTGGCTCGACAAAGTCGTTGTCGTTATAGGTGGGGTGCGACCCGGCGGGCATGATGGTGCGGCAAGATGGAGGAGCAGCTATATCGAAGACGGAACCGTCGTTGCCAACAGTACGTTATGATATCAACGAGTACATGAATTTACACGTCTTCCTTGGACCGATAATGACACGGGGTCTTCTGGGGATGCTGGCTAAGGGCGCGATAGCGGACGGAGCGGTTCGTTTGCGTCTTTATTTTGGAGATTGGCAGGCGGCGCACTGGGCGGTGTCCACAGGGCGACAAGGATGGCATCGGAGTAGACCACCTAGCCAGCCCACTTCTCACGACGACCGCGGCTCTTGATTAGTGGATTGGCCAGCGCGATTCGGAATCAACAAGACGTGAGCCGTTGGTCTCTCGGCAGAGGAGTGGTTGCTTGCTTACCCCCACCGTTAGTTTGTCTGCCAGCCGCACATCATCCATGGGCGAGACAAGTTTCAGAAGCTGGGCAAGAACCAACTGTCTGCCCAATAAGTCGCGCTTTGAATCCAATGTTTCTCGGTCGACAGTCGTCTCCGTCATAGCACGGAAGCTGAGTCGGATTGCGTGCTACCTCGGATATACCCGCGCGTCGGCCGCTTATCGCCTGTTCCCTTGCCGCTAAGCTAATCGGGAAGGGGTCCAGTTTGGGGGGAAAGATCAATGATGGCGCCAATCACGGCCTGCGACGTTCTATAACACAGCAAAGGAAACTCCTCCTCTGCTCATGGTTCAATGACTTTCTTCTTTTCCATGCTCTCATACTCATTTGCTTGTACATTAGGCAGCGTCATGGCAAATTCGAGACAGGAACCTAACACGTAGGCGGGAAATAGGCATCTAAGCGTTGATCCAATCGCTTGAGGAAGAGAAGAAATGGAGAAGAAAGAAAAGGCACGAACCCCTGAGAACCGTTCCAGGCTTGCCGTATACCTCAGTACGCCGTCGAAATGCGCAGCATCCATCATAAATACAAAAAGGCCTCAGCCCAGCGTGGCTCTCACCCCAACATCACGCGGTTCTTGTGCCTTGGTTTTACCCCAGTCGGCTGGCTCTGAATAAATGAAAAATGGCCGTCTGCATCAACGCCTCACAGCTTGACGCCCCAGACGCCTCTTCCGCCACTTACCCCCAGCCACTCGCCTCCTTGTTGCGTCAATCCGCTCTGCGGTGCCCAGCTCAAATTGCCAACTTCGTAGTCACAGCGCCAGCTGGCCGCCGGCCCCTTGAGGTTGATGCCGCTTGGGTATTGGGAGCTGGGCGTCGTGCTACCGTTTTGCCCACTGTCGATATTGCTGACTGCAGCGCCGTTTTGTGAATGCAAGAGATCCCACACAAGAACGAGGTTATCGTCTCCACCTGAAGCCAGCATTCCCCGCCGCGTAGGCGACCACTCGATGCTATTGACGGGTGCGTGGTGGCCGCGGAGCTCAAGGAGAGCCTGGCCCGGTTGCCGTACATCTAGGATTCTAATGATTTTGCTGTCGGCCGCAAAGGTGGCCAGAAGGTGCGCATCGTGGGGCGAAGCTGCTAATCTCAAGAGCGGAGGTGCATACGACATCATTTGTTGCGATTTCGTCGGGGACAGTCGTCCAGGAGAAGCTATCAGCCTTGTCAGAACGATTCCGCTATTGCAGAGCCTTGTCAACGTACCTCTCTCTTCCTTCTTCTCTGTCGGCTCATAGATGATCGTCGAGTGTTCCAGGCTCCGGAGGTCAAACATTCTGACGCTGCCGTCTGCTCCACAGCTGACAAATACGTCAACGCTGCCAGCACAGAACCGCACGTCGTAGACCTCCTTGTCGTGGGCGATCAATTGCGTCTTGGCTGTCAGCGTTGGTATATCCCATATCGTGCAAGTCGTGTCGATGCTCGACGTGATGATGAGCTTTGGGGACAGCGTATTCCAGTCGAGGGAGGTGAGAGGAGCAGTGTGCTCTGGCGACTTTGAGTTTGACAGTAGTGCAAGAGGCGTCAACTTTTGGGGAGGAGGATCTCGGCTGGACGTCGAGCGCGTTATCGTGTTGCTGACATTGGCCGTCGTTGATTGTGGCAGCGACCACAGTCGCAAATGATCGCCCGAGGTGGCCAGCAGGTCGGTGGATTGCTTGGACGAGGATGGAGGTTCCCAAAGTATGCGGGTGACTGGGTAGGAGCATGTCGCCTCAGCCACACGCGTATACTCGAGTCCAAAGGC